GTCTTCCAATGTCTTCAGCCGGTGATGAGCTATGCTAGGAATCAGGTCTCAAGTTGCTCCCATGAGACAATAAAGCACAATGGAAGGGCGGCATACCACATCCAGGCCACACTCTAGAGGGTTGCAACGAAGGCTTTGCACATGAGGCCTTCAAATGAACCATGAAGCATCATTATTGTTTTGACCTCTTGAAATGATCACTCGGGTCTGAGGGTTCCATCGTACTTTTTGAACTGTGGGAGGAGGGAGCTCGTCCACGATCTCTTGCGCGAACACTAGCTCTTTGGCTAAGTGTATTTATGTGGGTCTGTTCGCTAGAGGGGTCATGTTGTGGTCTACCTGGCTGCATTCCAACTCGTCTAGCCTTTCTCATAGGCTCATGATTTCTACGTTCCAATCCGTCGGATCAATATTTGTTGATTTCTCAACCTTGGGCACTACTCGTCGGTCTCAGACTAAGTTGGACTTAGCCAATGTGATTGGAGATTGGTATGAGCGTTGGCCAAGTCACTCCTTAGCAGGGAGCCTGGTGCCTGTGTGGTGGGACCGACCGTGAGCGTCGTTGGCTCGGGTCTGTGGTTGAGAGTCAAACTTCCAAGACGGTTGGGGCTACTCACGTTCCGATCAAGTCTTTGGCCGATCTATAGGGTGCCTTTTGGTGTCATCGGTTAGAGGATCAGCCGTCGTGGGCACCTGCATGGATAGGAGAGATGCTGGAGGGGCTTGTCCTAATTGTCCAAGCACTTCCATCATGGTGATGAGGTGGTCGACCTTTTGTTGCATGGTGTTGAACTGGGCAAGGTCGACCGGTATCTGTGGTTGGGCGTTCCGTGGCGAGGAGCTACGTAGTGAGTGAGATCCTTGAGATGAGGAGCAAGATCTAGAGCGGTCTGAGGTGTTCTTAGGCATGGTTGTCTTCGGTGCATGGTAAGAGATGAAGTATGGAATAGGCTTTTTGTGTAAAATCCCACAGATGGCGCCAATCTGATGTCTGATTTGAGGTGGCTTGAACCAAGGATGCAGTCAGATAATCCTACCAATTGGAAAAGGATGAAGACGTGCACTGAGGCAATATGCAAGTACAAGAAGAGTTAGAGGCCTAAGGAGTTGTTCCCCGAGTAGGCACTCTAATGCTCAAGTCAGTAAAAAGACAAATCAGTCAAGACGAGCTGAAGAGAGCAAGTCAGTCCAGACCAAGGTGAATGCAATGGTGTTGAGGTGAGACAAGAGTCAAAATTCCTTTACCTTGAGTGGGGAAATGCCCATATATAGCCAAGCATCTGTGTTGTAGTTGGATTAGGAACGCGGGGTTGTCGGGATGAGGTTACCTACCGAAGTGCTCGAAAGGCTCCCCTTTCCTCAGTGGAGTATGTTTCCTTGTCTGTGTGAAACTCTTCTCCTTAGTGCATCCATCCACGATGCAGCCGCATTGGGCGGCACTAACGTGGTCCAAGGAATTCAACCACGGAGATTGATACGTAGTGTCCTAGTATGTGTTTGGTACTGTTTATGTTTATTGAATAAATGTTTGTACTTTATTTGCTGGTAAAACCGAGAAATGCAATAATTGCAACCGTTTATGACGACTGGGCGCCACTAGATGCCACTTCAGTGTAACAGTGAATAAATGCATGGCCGTTTGTGGAAGCTTAAAAAAATAACTTCTACAAACGGTTGACATGCACATAAACCAAAGTTCACCTTTTACATTTTCGATGTATGCAGAAGAGCAAGAGAGAGAAAATGTTGAGATGGCGCCTATGTGGCAACATTAATAAACGTTTAATGAATAAATGTAAACGGTACCAAACATCACCCTAATTAGCCTCATGCATCAATAAACAATCCTGATGCTTATATGAACACTTTCTAGTAGAATCATCTTCAATATGACAACTTATTTTTTCTTCGATCCTTGCCAATGCTAATGCCTATCTTATTTATCACAGGCTGCCCCAACCCCAAGGATCTTTTCAAGTTCATTCTTAAGCCTGAACCGAGAAAGCAACGAGTAAGGTGGCGTTTGATAAATCTGAAATCTGAAGTCTGAAAAGTTAAAAATATATTAAAATTGTCTAAAATCTGAAAAGAGGCATTGATGCTTTTCTACTTTTCAGAGGCTCTGAATACTTTGGCTTGTTTGTGTTGGACCAAACTCTTAACATCTGAAATATCCTGTTTTTACTATTTTACCCCTAAAATATACTATTTGATATATTTGAACTCAATTTGTACTATTTCATATAAAATAATTTATCAAATTCAAAATAATATTAAAAGAATACAAAAAAATTAATAAAATATATAATAATTATGAAAAATAATTAATAAATAATAAATAACATAATTAAATTAATAAAAAATAATTACTCACTATTAAAAATAATAAAATAATTAAAATTTAATAGTGCAATTAATAGTTATAATAATATTGAACTAACGCGAATAAAAATAATTAAATACATAATAATTACGAAAAATAATTAATAAATAATAAATAACGTGATTAAAATAATAAAAATAATTACTCGCTATTAAAAAATAATAAAATGATTAAAATTTAATAGTGCAATTAATAGTTATAATAATATTGAACCAACACGAATAAAAAAATAATTAAATACATAATAACTATGAAAAATAGTTAATAAATAATAAATAACGTAATTAAATTAATAAAAAATAATTACTCACTATTAAAAAATAATAAAATGATTAAAATTTAATTGTTTGCTTGCCAGAGCCAGACAATGAGTTTAGCAAAAACAGTAACTATCATGGGCCCAGAGGTTGCATGAACACCTCCAGGAATGCCATGGAGATGAAGAAGGCAGAAGCTGGAGCTAAGGTCCAAAATTTTACAGATTGGGCTCTAAAATGTATAGACTTCTACTCCCGTTGTCAGGGAAACAGGGATAGAGTAAAATCAAAGTTCAACTGTTGAGATCCAACCCCAGTTGTCAGCATTCAAAACATTTCTAGATCTTGCTGGTAACCAACCAGCTTAGAGGAAAGGATTTCACAGAAGTTTTTGATGTGTCATGCTTTCCCCTCACTCTCTTCTCTTAGCTCATTTGACCCTGGTTGGGCATCTAGTATTTCTACTACTGCAATTCAGGGGTTGATGGGAATGGTGGTAGAAGGTGATATGGACAATGTTAACTAGTGTTTTCTTGAAGCATCATGTTTTGGGAGCACCAAGCTTGTCCATATCTTATTGTAGATAGCTCAAAGGAACAGGTTAGATGTGGATGACCCATAGAGTAGGAATAGCACCTACTCTATGCAACTCATTGACAGACACAATGAACCTGATTTGTGAACCTGAACTTGATGACCAGTGATCCACTTGGATTTCTATGAAAGTGCACACAAACACTGCTAATCATCTCAAAATATCCTATAAAATAACAATTTTTTGTAATATGGAATGACTACTAAAGCAACAACATATATTTGGTTAATGATACAGTGATATCATTAACCAATATCCCATGGACTGATTCAGCCATATCCCATGCATTTTTCTGTTATTACTGGTAAAAACTATACGCTGACATCTCATTAGTTGATAGGTTCATTCAATTCTGTTGGCAAATCTTATGTTTACCCCAAATTTACCAAAAACTGTATCATTAATAAATTACATACACCTTATCTCTGATTCTGATATGCCAACAACTGGTTCCCCAAACTAACACCACTCATTTACTCATCCCCGGAGAGCTTGGGACACTCAACAAGACCTAGTAAAAAGCAATACTACTTCAATGAATGGGCCAAAAGTAAAATGTTACAAGTAGAACCAAGGTGGTATAACACAGTTAACAAGTTCTTTGAAAAAGCCCTATTCCCTCCCTATACAATGAGTGAAGTAACCCGATAATACAAACTGCCTAACCACAGAACAGGGAGTTCTTTCCCTAAAATAATATACAATTCTGGGATTAAACTAGTTTCAACGAGATGATTTTGAAGATGCCCAATTGTCTTCTGCCAACATACTTCAAGGAATCTAAAGATGGGTTGTTCCCCATATTCGATAGATTGAAGAAAACTACAAAATTAAAAGAAAAAAAAAAAAAACTCCAAAGAAAACGAATCTGGGTCAGTTCTTCTCCCCAACATACATTTGGTTAATGATAAATCTTACAAAGAATCTGGATAAAGCAAATCAAACAAAAATAGTTGAATAGCACAAAGAAAACGAATCGGAATGGTTGAATACCATAAACCCGAATAGTTGAATAGCATAAAACATTCCTGTTTATCCAACAAGCATGGCAATAAAAAAGAAGAAAGCTGAAGATTGCAAGGGTTTTTGAGGGAGCTTCTTCAGATTTGGTTCGAAGAAAAAGTTCTTCAGTTCGAAGCAAGAAGAGAGCAGATTCGGTTCAAAGTGAGGGTTCACAGAGAAATGGCGGTGGAGCTTGCTTGCAGAGAGGATGGCGGTGAACTTCTTCTCAGTTCAAAAATAGGGTGAATAACCTAATTTTTTTAGTTTTACTTGAAGGACAAATTGTTGTCATTTTTAATTTTTTATGAGAATAATATCGTCATTTACCAAAGTCTTTATAGCCTCTGAGCGCATTAAGCACTCACCCAACCACTTTCATTTTAAGATCTGAAAATGCATTTCAGACCTAATATTAAGATGTGCACACAAACGGCTGTGGTGTCTGAAAAAGCAACTATTTCAGACTTCAGACGTCTGAATAGTGCAATCAAACACCGCCTAAGTCCAACCCCCAACTCCAAAGTTGGATGTAATAGTCGTATAGATTGTTAAATTGTTCGGAGATCAAGCTGAGAGCATCTGACATTCTAAATCCACCCCAAGTTAAATGCATTTAAATTCAGATACGAGAAACCGTGCATTCACACGGTCAGCTGTTCTTTGTGTTTACTGTCTGTCTCTGTTTGTGTGTGTATTGAAACCAATGAAAAAAAAGTTAAAAACTGAGAAAATCGGATTCCCATTTGGCAAAAGATGAAGCGCATTGCTTGCTAACATCATAGTTTTTTCTATCCAGAAAACTTCTTACCGAAACCTTACAAATCTCAAGTTTGATAACAACATAATCAGGGAAGTCATTTAAATGGTGAGTCATTTTGAGCAGAAAATTCCTCTGATAAATGCAGACATGTTGTATCACGATAAAGAATGTTTTAGCATAAAAATAATTCCATTGATTGCACCCAGAGACCTGTTAGCCCATAAAATTCACTACTTTGGCCCCCTGTTTTTTCTTAGCTTTTACATTGCTATTGTTTTCAACTTCAACTCCTGAAGTAGAATTGGCTTTTGACTTGGAAGAAGCACGTTTCTTGCCTTCATTAGAATCTTCCTCCATGCAAATATCACCAAAATCATCAAGATCGTCTCCAGACCCAAATTTAGTCACCTGTGCACTTGCTGAAAAGGAAATAAGAATATTATTAATCAATCAAAATAATGAAGAATTAATGAGGATACTGATAACACTATCAAGACATTCAGTGACCACTGAGTGCTATTGGTTATTACTTGTTCAAAACAAAAATATCCTAGTTCCTAATTGACACCTTCCAGCTGATGATGCTTATTGCTTCCTTTTTGTTCCACCCTTCAGTTCTTGACAAGGAAAGAACGAAATATGATTCCCCCTTCGCTCTCGTTCAAAATTCCCAGATTGCATAAACAGAGGTAGTACAAGGGTTTGACCTGTCAAGCAAAATATCCACACTGCTTTCTGTCTAAATCTGATTGATTTCCCACTCAGAAACCCTAATCCTAACAAAGAATTTATTGCATGGTAGTGATTTTTAAATTTTCATATTGTCTATAGCTTTAGATGCTATCATGTCAGATTTTTTTATTACTAGACCATAAAGAAAATTCTTCATAGAAACCATTACAATCCCCCATCCCTCAGGATAATGCCTATTGCCTAGAACCATAAAAGCAAGTATAAGATGTCTTTCCATGAATCTAAGGTATTACTGAACATTGAAGTCTTGTCTTCAAAACATAGTTTTCAAGGCTCCAAGGAGAGGGGGAACTTGTCACCTAGCCAAAGGATTTTTTCAATTAAAAGAAGAAATGTGTTGATTGGACAAAATTTTAAGTTCTTTCTTGCTTATTGGTTTAGGTTCTGAAGTCTTTGAAGGTTCAAGACAGCATATACAAATTTGTGTTAATTGAACCCTAACAAATAAGAAAATAATAAAAAGAAACTAGTATTCTAAATCAGAAACTGAATAATTTAGTTTAATAATGTTTGTTTTATTATAATTTAAAAAAGTTAAGAATATAAAAAGTATATAGTACCGTGTATAAAATAGTTAGGCGATTAAGATAAGCGAGGTGACCCTCCACGGGTGCCTTGTCACCTAGGAGTTACCTTGACAACTATGCTTCAAAAACACTAATTTCAACTAAAATCATGAAACATGTAACAAGAATAGAACATTATCCACTTTATCCCACCTGTAGCTTCATGAGTATATCTTCTTCTTAGGTATCAACTACAAAATGATAACAAAAATCCAAGTAACCCCCTCCATTCCAGATTTGGCCAAGCATTGGCTATACAATTAAGCTCTCTAGGAATCCATCTAAAAAAGCATCTTATAGCATCTATTCTCTCTCTGATTTCATTGAGGAAAAACTAAATCTCCACTCCCAGCTTATTACATTCCTTGAATTGCCATCCACCACAATCAATGCAATGTTGAGACTGACACTAAAGTTGATGCTAGTTTATGGATGACTCTGCTGTAACCACTAGCATATTTTATGGACACTCATAGCCTTACAATGATTACAGTTGATCACTGAAGTTGTCAAGTCTACAACCCAATTGGCTTCCATTTTTTATTGGGGACTTCCAAAATCATTGTTCTCAGGCTACTGAACCTGAGAAAGGCAGATGCTCACAACAAACACTACAATGCATAATCTGGAGTTTAATTCCTATTAGTCCCTTGCACCACCAGAAATCCCATAGTGGGAAGAAAAAAAATAGAGCAGCAATGGTATGAAATAAACACATCAAATTCTTCTACAGAAAGTGGAAGCAAGCAGTAGTTATACAAATAAAGCTGGATTGCTTAAAAAAGCATAAGAGCACTGAAGTGAAAAAACAACAAACTCAAATTTTGTAATTGCCAAAATCTTACATTTGTTTTCTGCTACATTGGCAGCAGTAAGACCTCTGTCATCTTTGTTAGGGCAATTTTTAGCCAAATGTGTGATGCCACCACATATTTTACAGGAACCACCCTGTTGATCAGCCATATGAAGAAATTATTAGAAGCAATTTATAACGTCATGGAGCTACTTATATTAAAAAGGCATCCGAAATGTGATTACTTGTTATCTAAAGTGATATGCCACTTAATCATAAAACAAGAGAGGCCTTGTTCTAAGGAAACTATACTAACGAAAAATTTGTTATTCCAAAATTCTTGGAATGACCAAATCTTATATTCATATCTTGGCGAGCCAGAAATTTATTCACCAAATGGTTTGGAAACCATGCATATGACACACAAAGCAAACTTCCCCCTACAAGGACAAGAGAGTACCAGCATACAGATCTCCAAGAAATTCTGTACATTGTAATAATGAAATAGAAGTTGACAAGAAAATCAAAGATACCTTTGGATAAATCCCATGTGTATTTTTTGGGCAATTTTTACTCAGGTGTCCATGCTCACCACAAACAAAGCAATTAGCAAATTTTGCTCCCCCTGCATTAATAACAAGAAAGAGAGACTGATGAACCAAGGATGCATTAAAGCATGCAACTTAACAATATCCACTGCTTCATTAACAAGAAAAGGTTTTTCAATTCCATCATTACACTTACAAATAATAACAGCAACTTCTGTATTAGTCCACAAGGAAGACAAAGTACACATTTACAATATCAATGAAACAGGAAAGACAGCTAAAAGTAGGATTTCCAGCAGGGGAAAAGGTAGTTTTTAAACAATGAGTTACATTGGCTTCCACCAAAATTTATGAAGGCATCAATTAAATTCCAATCTAGAAATATTTGAGGAAAGTGATATGGGGCAACTGAGGATGATATAGAGATCTTACAATCATATCCCACAGAAAAGAACATATTAGGGTTAAGCACTATTGACTAAATAATTTGATGGAAGAAAACCATAAGTAAACTTTACACTTGTTGAATTTTCTGGAAAGAAGTTAAACTTTGTACAGACCTCGAAGAAAGTATTAGAATTTCTCATGAGAATTGTTAGATTCAAGGCATGATAGAAGTGTACACCTCACATGCCTGGATACTTCTCCTATGTGGCTTCGTGCATTTTGGGAGCGCCTCACCTGGAGAGGCGCCTCTAGGTGTACACCTCCCACGCCTTTTAAAACATTCTTCTTTCTTTTTGTGTGAGAGAGAGAGAAGGTAAAGTATCATCGTATTAAATATGAACAAAATGTACAGCAAGATAATGTACTAAAGGAACCAGAAAAAAACTGTTCCCTCTAAACTTGATCCCCACCCTGCTTTACAAAAAGATTATCATGTACAAAAAAGGACTCAAAACCTATACCCCTAACCAGCCTATGACCAAACAACCAAGAAAACATCTTTCCCACAATTTTCTGAAAATTGAAGTCAGCAGAACTTGTCTTACTTTTGAAAACCCGACTGTTTCTTTCTTGCTGCAGACATCAAAAAACCACTGCTGGGGTCAAATTCCAAACTAATCTTCCTCTTTTACTCAAGCCCTCCACTCTCCAACCTTTTACTAAACCGTGTACTGAACCTGGGCAGCAACTTTTCACTTCAAATAATTGTGAGATTTTGTTCCAGATCTCTGAAGAAAATTTGCAGTGAAGTAATAGATTATTCACTGTCTCCAGATGTCCTTCGCATAGGACATAGGACACTGCTATTTGAGTCCAGAAGAGCACCTTTCTGACAGAGGTTATCCCTTGTAAGTATTCTGTTGAGGTAAGCCATCCATACAAAACATGAAATCTTTGAAGGCACATTTTTACTCCAAATGATGTGGGTTGGACCTGAAAGTCCTTCTGAACTGTCCAAAGCCTTGTAAAAAGATTTGACTGTAAACTTTCCAATCTTCTCCCACCTCCAGATTCTATTATCAGCCCTTGTTGCCTCCACTTGAGTACTGTGAAGGAGTTGCAGAAGTTCCATCCACTCCACTTCCCAATCATTTAGATTCCTCCTGAATTGTGGGATCCAAACCACATTATCATTTTGGATTTGCAAACTTTCAGCAACCTTAGCTTCCTTGTTTGCTGCAACTTCAAACAAAACAGGGAACCTCTCGTTCAAAGGTCTCTCCCCACACCAAACATCCTTCCAAAATTTGACCCTCTCCCCATTTCCTACTTTGAATTTCACACCTTTTGCAAACCAATGGTAAGACTTCTCAATACCTTTCCAAACCGAGCATCCATAGGAGTGATTTGAAGTTCCTGGATCCCATCCCGAATTTCTAAGACCATACTTGGCCTGCACCACCCTTTTCCACAGCCCTCCTTGACTCTCCAAAACCACTTCCCCAGCAGAGCAGTATTGACACTTTTCACCCTTCTAACCCCCAAATCCCCTACAGCTTTGGGCTGACATACCTTGCTCCAGTTCACCAAGTAGTATTTCTGCAGTCTGCACTTTCCAGCCTCTCCGGAGGAAATCCCTCATCTTCTTTTCAATGATAGAAGCCATTCCTGCCAAGATTGGGTACAAGGATAGCAGATACATTGGGAGGGAGGATAACACCCTTTTCACCAGGGTAACCTTACCTCCATAAGAAAGATTCTTAGTTTTCCAGGATGCTGGCTTCTTTTCAAGTCTTTCATTGGCTCCCAGATTGTTTTGGAATTACATTTTGCACCTAGGGGAATGCCCAGATATTTTAGAGGCAACTTTCCCACCTTACATCCCCACAAATCTGCCCAACTGGCTAGCTCCTGTACCTCTCCCACAGCCACTAACTCACTTTTGTATAAGTTAACTTTCAGGCCCGAGACTACTTGAAACCATTTCAGCACTGACATCACAAAATAGAGTTGCTCTTGTGATGCATCACAGAAGATCAAAGTGTCATCAGCATACTGCAGTAAACTAACCTCCACCCTCCCATTTACCTACTGTAAAGCCTTCTAGGAAACCCCCTGAACCAGCCCTCTCCACCAATCTACTTAAATCAAACAAATAAACAGGAAAGGGGATAGTGGGTCCCCTTGCCTTATTCCCTTCGAACTTTTGAAGTTTCCAGAAGCTTTCCCATTTACTAGAACTGAGAAGGATGGAGTACCACACAAACCTTCATCCAATTTCTCCATTTAGAGACAAAGTTCATTCTTCTAAGCACATAGTCTAGGAAGCTCCAGTTCACATGATCATATGCTTTCTCCAAATCTACTTTGCATATCAGCCCACCCCTTCCACTTCTCAGCCTCGAGTATCAGCTCATTTGCCACTAAAACCCCATCTACCATCAACCTTCACTGCCTTCCTTCTACAAAAGCTCCTTGGCACTCCGAAATAATGTGCCCCATGACTAGCTTCATCCTTTTTGCTAGCACTTTTGTAAGGATTTTATACATGCTGCCTATTAGACTAATAGGCCTGTAGTCTTTAATATCCTCAGCCCCTTTCTTCTTTGGAACCAGAGTGATAAAAGTAGAGTTTAGACTCCTTTCTAAGGTTGCTGATGTATCATGTATGGAATTCCTCTCAAACTTTCATGATGTCTGTCTTCAGAAAATCCCAACAACATCTTTTGTAGAAAGCCATGGTGAAACCATCTGGTCACGGAGCTTTGTCCCTTTCCATAACCATAATTGCCTCTCTCACCTCCACTTCCTGGAATTCCCTCTCTAGCTCCCTTGCTTGCTCACTTGTCAGCCCATCAAATTTAAACCATCGAGTTTGGGCCTGTATTTCCCGTCTTCTTTATAAAGATTTTTGTAGAAGTCAACTATACTGGTTTTAATTCTATCTTCCTCTTCCACCACTTCGCCATTCACCACAATTCTTTTAATGGAGTTTTCCCTTCTTCTAGTCATTGCCATTTTGTGAAAAAGCATTGTTCTTATTACTTCAAGCCATGTTATTCTTGGTCTACTGTCTACCCATAGCTCTTTTGACCCCTTCAACTTGTAATAAATCACTTCTTCTCACTGGCCTTCTTGGCATTTGAGTGTGACGAAACCATCTTAGTCTACTTTCTCTCATTTTATCATGGATGGCCTATTGCAGTTACTCCGAGGTTCTTCAAACAAGTTTCATCTCTTATTCTCCCCTTTCTAGCCTTCCCACTCATCCTCCCATGTATGCTCCATTCATTTTTTGGACTTGTTGCTTATTACCTTCCTAACATTTTGTTCCATATAACATTAACTTGGACCAGACTACCATTAAAAAATTTAAACGAAGATCTCCCCTTTTGATTGGATATCTGATATATAGGGAGTTTTGAGGCAGAGATTATTTAAAAACTAAAAATCAAGGGTTTTAACCTAAAATTGAAGAGTGGACTAAAAAGCCAAATATAGTTTAAAAAGATCTCCCCTTTTGCATGAAACAGATGCACCAGCTACCCAGCCCAAGGGATTGGAAAAGGAAGATGAAGGTGGGACAGGAATGTTAGAAGGGAAGGATATAGAGGAAAGGACAAGGGTGGAAGAGGAAGTTGAGAGGATATGGAGTTTAATAAGTGAATGTTTTGAGGATCTCAAACTAAAGGGAAAAATAACTGAGGTGGGAACTCAAGAACCTTGTATGGAAGGAGTTGTGGAAGAGGAGATGACAAAGAAGCAAAAACTAGAAGTGTATGGTAGGAAGAGTGAAGAGGAAAAGAAGAAAAAGACAGAAGTAGAAAGGCTAATTTCTGATGTAGAGGGTGATTTTGAGTTCAGTGGGAGGGGAGGTCGAAGGAGACAGTTTAAGTAGTGAAGAAAGAGGAGGGGTTAACATAAAAGTGAAAGAATGAAAGTTATTAGTTGGAATGTGAGAGGGCTGGAGAATACAAGAAAAATGAAGGTAATAAAAGATCTAATAAAAAGAGAGAACCCTGAAGTTGTGATGTTGCAAGAGACTAAACTGGCAAAGCTGGATAGGAAGCTGATCACAAGTTTGTGGGGATCAAGAGGCATAAGATGGATTGAGGCCCCTTCTTGGGGGGCTTTAGGGGGTATGGTGATTCTATGGAAAGAAGAGGTATTGGAATCAATGGAGGAGCTGATTGGCAGATACATCGTATCAGTGAAGTTTAAGAATGTGGGAGGAACTGTATGCAATATGGGGTTTGTGGGAAGGTGCTTGGAGTCTGGGAGGGGATTTCAATGTCATAAGGTCCTCTAATGAAACTTCTAACCCAATCAGTCAATAACCACTAGTATGAGGAGATTTAATGAGTTTATAGACAGGTGTGAGCTGAAGGAGATCCCTCTTATGCATACTAGCTTTACTTGGTCCAACTTTCAAGAAAATCCATTGTGTTCAAAGTTGGACAAATTTTTGTTTAATGTGGGTTGGGAGAACCATTGGGAAGGTTTAGTGTCTAAAGCTTTACCCAGAGTCAATTCAGATCATCCCCCCATTAGAATAGGATCAGGAATTCTTCTAAATGGTCCACTCCTTTCAATTTTGAAAATATATGGTTGACACATCCAGATTTTGTCCGCAGAGTTGAAGAGTGGTGGAAGGAGGATCTAAGGGGGGTAAGGTGGGAGGGAATCAAATTCCATAAGAAGCTGCAAAGGTTGAGGGCAAAGATAAAGGAGTGGAATAGGGACCATTTTGGAAGACTGGAAGAGAGAAAGCTTACTCTCACATCTCAGATTGAGGAATTGGATAAGTTGGAGAATGAGAGAGTTCTTAATGAGGAAGAAAGAGAATCAAGGTGGAAACTGGAAATTGAAGAAAGATTTGGAGGAAATTTGTTGGAGATAAAAGTCAAGGCAAAATGGATAAGAGAGGGGATGGAAATACAAAAGTTTTCTATGCGATGGCCAATGGTAGCATGTGTAAGAACTTTGTGGCTAGATTGGAAATTAATGGGGAAGTGATATCTAATCAGGATGAAATAACCAGAACATTTGTGGACCATTTTAAATCCCTTTATAGAAGACATCTAGAGGAGAGATTGAGCTTAGAAGGACTAGAGTGGCCCCTACTGGAAGAGGAGGCAGCAAGATGGCTGGAAAGGGATTTTGAGGAGGAGGAAATAAAAAAAAAAGGCAATGTTTTCCATGAATAGAGCCAAAGCACCCAATTCAGACGGCTTCAAAATGGCTTTCTATCAGGATTGTTGGGAAATTTTGAAAGATGATTTGTTTGAAGTTTTCAAAGAGTTCTCAAATACACATATTGTTAGTTGTGGAGTTAATGCAACCTTCTTGGCTCTGATTCCCAAAAAATCTGATGCCAGTCAACCTAAGGATTTCCGACCCATTAGCCTAGTGACCAGTACCTATAAAATTTTAGCCAAAGTCCTATCTTTAAGGCTTAAAGAAATCCTCCCCTCTCTCATAAGCCAGTTCCAAGGAGCCTTCATCCAAGGGAGACAAATTATGGATCAAATCCTTATAGAAAATGAATGTGTAGAAGAAATGAAGAGATCTAGGAAGGAAGGATTTGTATGCAAGTTGTATTTAGAAAAGGCTTATGACTTGGTGGCTTGGAACTTCCTACAAGAAGTAATGCAACAAAGGGGATTTGGGGAGAGGTGGTGTAATTGGGTATTTGGTTGTGTTTAGTCTTGTCAATTTTCTATCCTTCTTAATGGAGTGGTGAAAGATTTCTTTCCAACCTGTAGAGGTTTAAGGCAAGGAGATCCCCTCTCTCCTTTTCTGTTTACCCTAGTGGCGGATGTTTTTAGTAAGCTACTCTCTAAGGCAGATGGGGAAGATGAAGTTAAGTGTTGGAGAGTGAGCAAAAACAGGGTCTTGGTGTCTCATCTCCAATTTGCAGACGATGTCATGATTTTTTATGAAGGGGGAGACCCTAGGAGTGTGAGGAAGCTAAAAGAACTGGTTCAAAGGTTTAAAAAGGTGTCCAATCTAAAAATCAACATGGACAAAAGTTGTGAAGCAGGGATTAATATGGAGGAGAGTGTCCTAAGTTTGGTCACGGAGTGCTTAGAGTAGAGTGTAAAATTACCCTTTGGCATTTGACCTATTTAAGACTTCCCCTAGGAGCCAACCTTAAGGAGAGTAGATTCTGGATCCCAGTTGTAGAAAGATGTGGTAAGAGATGGGTCGCCTGGAAAAAGAGTTACATCTCTTTGGGAGGGAGGATCACCTTGATAAGATCTACTTTGGCCAACTTACCTATCTACTTCCTCTCTGTTTTTAGGATTCCTCCAAGGGAAGAAAAGAAGTTAGAAAAAATTATGAGAGATTTCCTTTGGGAACCAGGAGAGACAAGAAAAGACCACTTAATCAATTGGAGTGTTGTGTGAAAAATTAAAGAAGAGGGTGGACTAGGTCTTGGGAATTTGAGAAAGAAAAATACAACTCTTCTAGGAAAATGGTTATGGAGGTGGTCATTGGAGCGGGAAAATTTGTGGGCTGAAGTAGTGGATAGTATTTATGGGAGATCGGAGAGCGGTTGGGGTGTTGGTGTATCACGTTGGGCTACTTTGGCAACACCTTGGAAAGCAATCCACAACGTGCTTCCTCAGTTCCGTAATTTTATCAGGTATGATGTTTGTTCAGGAAACCTAATCCATTTTTGGAAAGATGTTTGGCTTGATGACTGGTCCCTGAAGGACCTATTTCCTTCTTTGTACTCCATTTCCTTATACAAAAATAAGGTGATTTCGAGCTTTGTAGTCCTTTATACTTCACCTTTGAATCTTAATTGGGATTTTGGGTTTCGAAGGGGGCTGAGGAATGAAGAAGCCTCTTGTTTGACAGAGCTTCTCTCACGTTTGGATATTGTTTGCCTTGAACCCTTTAAACCAGACAGGAGAGTTTGGTCACCAAATCCTAAAGGTTTCTTCTCTTGTGCCTCTTTCTTTAAAGCTCTTTGCTAGTCCTCTTCCTCTCCGTTGTTTCCTTGGAAGGAAGTTTGGTTTCAGCGGATCCCCCTAAAATCAAGGCTTTCTGTTGGGAAGTGATATATGGGAAAATCAATACTCTGGACTATTTGCAAAAGAAAAGGTTGTTTCTGAGTATTTCCCCGAATCGGTGCACTGTGTGTAAATCTGATGATGAATCTTGTTTTCACTTATTTATTTCATGTTCTTTTACTGCAGAAATTTGGGAGTGGATTTTCTCTTTATTTGGATGCAGGTGGAATATGCCAAAAAAGGTTAAATTGTTGTTTGATCCATCTACATTTACTTGGTCGAAGAAAAGGGGAAAGGATGATGTGGAGATGTGCTAAAGCAGCAGTGGTTTGGACATTGTGGGAAGAAAGAAATGCCAAAATCTTCCAAGAGAAGGAGAGAAGTAAGCAGCAAATTATGGACTATGCTTTGGCTAGAACTATACATTGGCTACAAATGGTGGATCTGTGTAAAAGTTTCTCCTTTGATGACATGTGGAGGAATTGGTCTGCAGTAGCTTCTAGTTCATTGCAAAAGACTAAGCTACGATTGACTTGGACACCACCCATGGAAGGATTCATGAAGCTGAATTTTGATGGGAGTAGTCGAGGCAATCCGGGGCTTTCTAGAATTGGAGGAACCATCAGAGACAAGGATGGGAATCTGAGAGCACTCTACTCAGGACCGATGGAGATTGGAGACTCTATAAGGGCAGAACTGTATGCAGTCCTACAAGGTGTACAGATTGCAAGGGAAATAGAGGTGGAGTACTTGGTGATAGAGGGGGACTCTAAGGTAGTGGTGGGTTGGCTTAGAGATTCGGATTCAGTGATATGGTGCTACATAAATAAATTGAAGAAATTCAAATGGGAGACACAACATATGAATTTAGTCATACAATGGGTGGGAAGGGAGGCTAACTCATTTGCTGATTGCTTAGCCAAACAAGGAGTAACTAGGGATCAGTTGTATTGGGCCCAATTGTAATTTTGTGATGGTTCTTTTCTTTTAAAGGGTGAGGCTGCACCTTGCGCCTCCCATTGGGATGCTTGTAACAGTTTTTATTATACCAATAATGAACTTTTAACGAAACTTTATTTATCAAAAAAAAAAAAACTATGCGGTACCTTTCACCTGTAAACCTACACTGGTACATGAGAGAAAAAACGCATTCCAGACGAAACAGTACCATACCAACAACGTGCAGTAGCTTACTAGAACACTTCAATGTAGTTATATTAGCACAATATACACCACTATCCCCATTTTGTGCCAAGTAACAAACACTTAAGTTCATGCAATATGACAAAGATAGAAATTAATAAATTAAAAATTTCTTATTTATGGGCAAAATAAAAATAATCCAGTAATCCACAGTAACGGATAGAAATGCAGGGGCAGATAAAATAATTGATGTGAAGAAAAATGATTACAGAAGTATGATTACCATCTTGAAGAGGTTGGGGACATTTAGAAAGTGAATGCCCATATTCCCCGCAATTATAGCAAAGCTTCTTGTCATTGATTTCATCGCTCTTGTTCGGGCAATTCTTAAGACTATGCCCACGTTGCCGGCAGAGCAAGCAAATCTGCGTACATCATTGCAGAACCAATAGCATGAATAACATCAATAGCCTCCTTAAATAAATCATCAATTTCATATAATCACAAAATATGTCACATCTAATAATCTTTCTTAATCACCAGACTAAACCCCACATATCATACCCAAAGGGCAAAAGGCAAAATTAAGAACATACCCAAGTGAAAAAAATGAGATAAAGAGATGCTTGAAACACAAAACATGGATTGGCATTTAGCAGAGGCTTAGAAATAAAATAGAACAGAGAAAAGACTAACTTTATGTTTCTCCCACTGAGTCTTCTGAGGACAGAGTTTGGCAATGTGATTGTCGGCTTTGCAGATGAAACAGCCCTCACCAGGTTTCATGCCAGGAACTCTGAGGGGATGTTTCCTGAAAGTTGAATTCTTAGACGTCTTTAGGGTTTTGGGTCCGTCGTTTTCTCCTGCCTTCCGCTTGAACTTGTACTTCTTTTTCTTCTTCTTGCTAGGGTCCTTTGGAGCTGTTGGTTCTGGTTTTGCACACAGTTCTGGGTGTGCTGTCCTGTATCGCTTTCGAGCCAGCCTCTGCCTCTGATTCGCCATCTTTCCCTTTCAAGTTTCTCCTTCTCACTTCTCAGATGAAAGGAGAAAACGTCAATAGCCGAAGGCAGAAAACTTCAATGGTTAGGAGTTCCGACACATATATAACGGTTTCACTCACTGTAATTTAGCCCCACCGTACAGGGGATGAATCCCGACCGTTGATTGATGCCAAATTCACGGACGCGGTTTATAGGGCTATTTAGTAGAGAAAGATGCCAAATCCATGGTGTATTTCTCCCTTTCTTTCTTATCCCTACCGTTTAATTAATTGTTTAATTAATCGATAAATTATATCTTTATTATTTACATATTATCTTAAAATATCCCGAACAATTGATATTATTACTAAGCAGTTAAGCACTTATGAAAAAACAATAAAATATCAAATTTATCCTTTACTATTCCTTAAATTTTCAAAATAAAACCATTGTCATGAAAATTTTGAGGAAGCTAAGGAAACAAGACAAAGAGCATGCCTCAAATGGTGACTTCTATCTGCATCTCTACAACTCATTCACGATATACCTGTGGCAACTCTTCAGGTGAGATCGTTATTTGAATCTAGTGTTTTAGTTTTTTGTGAAGAAAACAACCCATTTGGTACATATCTGTCGACGATCAACATTCTGATTTTTAGAATTTTAATCAAAACCTGATCCTCGTTGAACCCATTAGAGCCTATGTAGAGATCCGCATAACTGAAATTTCTCAGATTGTTACTATCAACCTTGTCCAACGTTACAACCCCAGCCATATCCTGCATCAAGGGAAAGAGAGGAACAGGGAGGAGTTGTTGTCGAGTTTAAGGCGGTGATAAAACAAGGGAAGTGAACGAATGAAGGGGAGAGAGAGAGAGGGGGGGGTTATCCTTTCGGCCCACTAGCCATTGTTGTAGAAGGCATAACTTCGTCAAAAATGAGAGAGAAAGATAAATAGATAGATATATATAGAGAGAGAGAGAGAGAATGAGGGGAGAGACCTCGGGTACCACCGTATTGTACAAGAAACTGAAATGGGTTATGAGAAGGTTGATTGAGAGGTTGGGGTCTAATGCAACTGAGGCTCAAGCCTCTAAGATTCTTTCCAACCCATACCTCTTTCCATACGGAATCTTAACCGAAGCATTCTTCAAGCTTCAACGGCTACCGATGACAACATTGAAAGCATCATGGTCATCCTTCAGAGCCTCCTGTTTGGCCTACTCGACAGCTTGAGCAGCAATTAAATCCTTTTTCTCTCGTTTCTTTAATTCCTTCTTGGATACTATGGATCCGAAAGCAATCTGCGATCAAGTATCAGAAAACGGGTTGCAGGGGAATGGAAGCATTTCTGCTATCTAGGTCATTATGGAAGATAAGGAATAGGATCTTCACTCTAAAAATAAAAAAAACTCTGTTTTCCATCGCATCTGGATCTCTACTTCCGTCCTCCGAACCTAGGACTCCCTGTCCGACCTTCCTCCCCCTACTACTACTACTCCCCCTCCTCCCCAATCCAATGGGCTACTCCCCCTCTCATACAACTCAGCTATCTTGCATTGTCATCGTTATTGTTGTCCTGATCAACATGCAAAGACAATCTTTGGGCTCGCCTGGGTCGAAGCTCCAAATCCATGGTGGAGGAAAAGAAAAGAAGGCTTCTACTATAATTTTGGATAAAGGGTATTATTGTCATTTTTTTAAAATATAACAATCACATGGTGTGGCATGAGTGGATTCTAACAGATTGTGACCAACCCTAACAATAAGGGAGCAATTAGTCAATTGTTAGAAATAATAGGAGTACTTTAAGACAATATGCAAACAATAAGGGTAGAGCTTGTCAATTAGTTAAACAATAGAGATAGATTATGAAATTTGCCCAATTACTAAACCCCTTTTATTACCAAAAAATACTCTTTTCTAAAGGCTTAAGGCATAGTTGAGGAGTAATGACCCAAAAAGGTGACTCGAGGCATTGCAAGGTGTAAGCCTCAAAGTTTAAGAAAAAAATAACTAAAGTTTGTAAATTGATAAAAATAACATATAATATACTAAATTAAAATGATGTAAGGTACAATCTATAAAGCAATAAGTTTTGGCATTTAAGTATTAAATAAAATAATAATTAATCAACTAATAATTATAAACATTTTATATTTCATGTAAAAAATAAATTAAAAGAAAGGAAATAACTTAGTTGATTTGATTTATGTAAATAATAATAATAATGTTGTTAAGAAAAAAATCAATTAGAAGAAGAAATGAGAAAAATAACAAACATGGGAAATTACATTTAGAATAATAAGAAAAATTTCATTTGATTTATGCAAAAGAAATTAAGAACTTGATTAGTCCTTTTCTATTTGGTCCATATTTATTGAAGTGTTTTTTCTATATGTTTTAAATTATAAAAATACATATTTTTTTGCATTAAATCACTAATTAATCATTGATATTTGAGGCTTACACCTTTTTATGCCTTGAGGCTTGAGGCTTACACCTCATTTTGACAAAGGCTTAAGCCTCACATCAAAGTTGTGAGGCTTAAGCCTTGAGGCAAAATCTATGTGCCTTGCCATATGCCCCCCGCCTCAAAGCTTAAGCCTTTTAAAACAATGGACGTGAGTATATTCACGTGTATGTTGTTAGAAAATGGTAAAATATAAATTGGCACTATATAATCAAATTTAACTTTTCTGACTTATATAAGATAAATATCTGGGATAATAATGATAACAACTACATAAATACATAACAATGATGGATACGAGCCAAGCTGAATATTAGACCATTTAAGTGGAGCTTGAGTTCTATATAAGTTATAAATAAGAATTAAATTTTGCTTGACTCTAAAAGTCTAAACTTGGTTTGGCTTGAGTTTGACAATGAGCCAAATTTCATATAAAAATGTAAAAAATGTACATATAAAATATTTCTTATTATATATATAAATTCATTTCTTTTATATATAGAAAATTAATAATATTATATATAAACTCAATTAAGCTCATGAGTATCACGACGATCTGAGCTTTATACTATCTAAATTCACTGAGCATTTACATTATGTTCGAATCTCAAATTTGGACCAAATTGAATCAAGCTTTTTGTGAGCCAAGCTCAAATGACTCACAAATATCCTTTCATGTCCTGCCCTAATAGTAATATGAAAAACAAAATAAAAAATCAAAGATCAGGTGAAAAGGGAGGGAGGGAGAGGAGATAATGGGTTTTGTTTGAAAAAGATTTATTCTAATTGTTTTGCTTTTTTTTTCATTCATATTTTTGTATTTTTTTGGTCAATTGATATTTTAATATTCTTATCATTGGGGAAATGTAGAACTTTTAAAAAAAATAAAAACATACATATAAAAAATATTTTTATTTTGCATACAAAAAAAATAAGAATTGTAAAAATTATTTATTATCATACATATAACAAGTAGAAATATTATATATAACATTTATTATTATACATATAAAAATAAAAAATATATATATAAGTTATTTTTATTATACATAAAAAATAAAAATATTATATATTATATTATATATTATATATAATATATATACACCTATGTATATAAGTATGTATGTATGTATGTATGTATGTATGTATGTATGTATGTATGTATGTATGTATGTATGTATGTATGTATGTATGCATGCATGCATGCATGCATGCATTATACTTGATTAAGCTCGTGAGCTTAATGAGTCGAGCTTCATTGGGCTCGAGCACAACTCAATTAGCAAACGAGCCTATATATCGAGCTCAAGCTCGGCTTGAAGCTTGGTTTAAACCGAGCTGAATTGAGCTTTTCATGAGTCGAGCAAAGCTCGATTCATTTTCACCCCTACACATGAGTAAATAATTTACTTAAGTCTGAGGAAAGTATTACTTCCCCAAGTAAATGAGCCACTTGGGAATCATTCTTTTGTGTGGGACTCACTAATACCGAAAAACAAACTGTAAGTGGTGTGGTAAGGCTGAGTCTAGTGGTCTCCTTGAAGGACAAAGAAAGGCTATAGGTATCAAGTAGCAGAGGTAGGTAGGGATCTTCAATTGATGAAACTGTATGTTTGTTATGGCCTACGCCCCTTTTATAAGGGGAGATTTTGAGGCCCTGAAGGGAAAGAGCAAAATGGGTTTTGACTCCTATTCGAAAAGGTGGTGTAGCCAGAAGCGCGTCATTAAACACTTCGAAATACCAGTTTAAACATTTATAATTTTTACCATTTCTCAAATGACTACTAATGTAGTAAATGGGTGAGAACGGGTCGTATCCACAGGGAAGCAAGTGAAAAATTAATATATACTTAGATCCGGACAAGAGAATACAATCGAGAATTGCAGAAAATAAGAAAATAGAATCTATTATTGCGGAAATCAAATGTTTCGAATTTAAACAAGACAATAAATAAAAATCAGAATTTAATAAAGTATGGGAATCAACAAAGGAAGTAAAAGAAATAAATAAAAAAAAAGCGATCCTGAATCCAGATCCAATGGTGATAGCAGCTGATCGGCCAGATAGCTTGCAGAAACCCCTCCTGACAAGAACTGGGTGTCTGTCCTTTCTACAACCCTCGAACCCCTCGAGACACCTTAGCCTTGAACAAAATGAATTTAGATCTGCAAAACAGAGAAACGAACAAGAATTAAATCTAAAATATTGCATAAATAAAATAACAGAAAAGAAAAGAATGGTTGATCAAATCTAGTGGCAGTAGTTGTAGAATGGTTGAACAGCTTGCAGGAACCCCTCCTGACAGAAAAGAAAAGAATGGTTGATCAGATCTAGTGGCAGTAG